AATAACGTTCTCTTAAATTACAAGTCTTTTAAATTTTTGGACTCGGTTTAGCCGTTTTTGAGAAAACGTCGAAAAAATGTAAAAAATCGGCTCGCATACACACACACACACACGCAACCACGCACACACACACATACTTTTTCCAAATTTTCTCATTCGATTAATAATGACTTGAAACGTCGAGAATATATAAAATTAGGAATTCTTATTTAATTCTTCATACGGGAAAATCAAAAAATATTTGAAATATTAATTTTTGTTATTTTTATCTTAATATAAAAAGTAACGTCTTCTATATACATATGTATAAATGTTCATATGTATACATATTAATATGTACATTTGTATATAATAATAATAATGAAAAAGGAGCGAAACCTTCATCGTTACTATTATATCATTTACCTACAAGCAGTTTCAATGTTCCGTTCTGTAGCGCACGCCGCGGAATACTGCTCGTGTTAGGATATGAGAGACGGTTTTGTCTCCGTTCGTCAGCTTTGCGCAGTGGCGATATCGTAACCAATGAGGTTCATCCGAGGTGCGATTATTGCTAGTTGAAAACTTTTACCAATACCCCGCCGAGACCACGTGAAATACCGTGGGCTATGGCAATTTTTGGAGGGTTCGAAAGGACCCCAATAATCTCTTCATATGTTATTTTACCTCCAAAGGTAAATAATATAATAATAGCTAGTTTTGGTATATTAATAACAGTACATGTTTTGAAAAACATTTCTTTGTATTGTAAAAATACAAATAATGAAATTGTAACAAATTTAATGAAAAATGTATATGTTTTTGAATTGAATTGAATTTTTCACAATTGTATTTTTGCAATACAATGAAATGTATTTTTTTAATGTTAATAATTAATCATATAATATTTGTATAAAAAGTACAAATAATATAAATTGTATTGTATGTTTGTATAAAATATTATTGATGTTAGTATAAAATCATATAAAGTAAAAAAATATTATCGAAATCAGTTTCGAAATTTAAAACGATTATTGTTTAACTAATTGTAAAAATGCAAATCTAAGGAATTGCATAAATTAATAAAAATAATCAAATTTTAAATGGTAAATGTTAATTGTGAATGTTAAATATACATGTAAATGTTAATGTTAAATGTGAAACTAAATAATTCAACCACATAATTTTAAACAATGTATTGCAATCGCTGTTATAAATGTTTGTTTGTCTAATTGTATGTTCTACGACTTTTTGAACATATGTGAATGTCATGAAATGATAGAAAGTGTGCCCGAAGAATAACTTTACATACTATGGTTTAGTTGCAAGAATAAATTATAATTTATTTTACGAAAGCATTTGCAGTAACAATTATTAATTAAAGTTAATTATTTTGCAATAAAAATATTTCCCATACCGGGAATCGAACCCGAGCCTCCTGGGTGAAAGCCAGGTATCCTAGCCACTAGACCATATGGGAGTTGAAAGCAAGTTTCGTCGTTTCGATATTATCGCAAGCATTTTAGCTGATACTACAAAAATATGTAAATATTTATTCAAATATGCGAATTAATTTACTTTACACTGATAACGTGTGGCATTGAAAGCAATTTCTATAATATCATAATTTTATTTTGGTTTTGAAAATTATTATACATACACTAATTCATTCGTTGACAATATGCTTATCTGCTATTAATGAAAATATTTGACTAATTAGATTTTTTACAAAGGTTTTTTTTTAATTACTATATTTGTTACAACTGCTAAATAATTAACATTTAGTGACAGTAATGAACAATTATATACATTTAATACAAAGAGTACAAAATAAAGAATAAAATCTATATATATAAAAGAGGATCGCCTTATGTGCTACCACTTATAACTCACGAACGGCTGAACCGATTTAGATGAAAATTGGCAGGGAGGTAGTTTAGAGTCAGGAGAAGGACATAGGATACTTTTTATCCCTTTATTTCATTCTAATTTAAAATTAATTATTTATAAACTATCCATGTAGTTTATTCAATCTATGATACTAACAATGATTTCATCCATGACATTTGCATTCGATTGTCAAATGTCATTCGGTGTTTCTGTTTTGATACAAATATATTAATATGCATTTCTTAATGACCATTATTTGAAAATTAATACGTGAATAATATAAATATTTTAATCGCCACGGAAAATTAATACAAAGTGGCAAATAAATTAATTCTTAATAATACCAAGCGATGCTAGATGGACGATGGGGAAATTTATTTCTTGAAAATGGAAATGTAATTATTTATATAATTAAGTATTTATGTATATTTGTTTATACGTATTTAAATAGAGTATTTGAGGTGTTTATATTATATATCAGCAATAAGTATAATCATCAACAAATTAATAAAAAAAATATTCTGAAATATAGTTTCTTGACATAACCTCAAAATTTGTAATAAAAATGTAAATAGTTATACATTAATTGTTGTTAATTTGTAATTTCTTTATACATATCTTATAAAATGTTTCAGGTGTTTACAACTAATTGGCATATATATATTATCAGCAAATGTGCTTTGATTCGACAATAAAAAGGTCTAATTGAAGTAATCGACTACCTTAAGTTAACTATAGTGATAGAATATTAGTTTTTGGTTCTCATATATTATAACCCAGCTATAAACCTCACGGAGCCCCAGACCTTTCCAGCAAATGCAAAATTGTCGAATTCGGTTTGTGCATTCTGGAGATATATCGTCAGAACTTATAACTCAAGAAGGCTGAACCGATTTAACTGAAAATTGGCTTTGGTAAAGTTGGTAAAAGTTGGTTCAGAGCCAGGAGAAGGACATAGGATACCTTTTATCCCGTTCGACTTGGAATAACAATAAGCAAATGACAGCTATGTAATCACGTATGGATGACAATTCAATATTTGTAAGGAATTAATAATAAAATTATTTATTTTAAATAAATAATTAACAATTATAATATAATGATAGTGCCATTGCCCATTCGTATAAACAGTGAAGCGAACTATGTATAACTCAGTATGGTTGACAAATCATATTTTTCTCAAACACAATGCTCTGAAAGAACTCATTTGTATAATTATGTACTCATTGGTATTTATAAAACCTTTTCTAGATTATTCAGATTTAGAACCTAAATTTGAAATCGATCAAAGAAACATTTTGTCGAATAGCTTATTTCCAGTTATAATTTCCTGAATTTATTCAAGAATGGATAGTAATATATGAAGATCCACGACCGAAGTGTCAAAAACCAGTAAAGCTAAGCATTGTTTAACAACAGTATTTGAATGTTAAGGGAAAATATGTATAATCAGCTATAACCTTGATTCTTATGACTTTGGTATTGGGAGATAAATGGTAATCTTTGAAAATCCATAGTAAAAGTATTTTCTTCCATTGGTAGTTTTCTAGCAATTAGTTGAAAATGTAATTATTTTGTAAAATACTTTTGAAATTAAAATATGACATTAGACCTGCTTGCCATCTGGCCGTTCCAAGTTACCCCATTATAGGGTAAAAAGGTCTAGATAAAAATTTTTTAAAGACAGCAAAAAAGCACGTTTTTACAATGATGAAGTAGCTGGTAGTTTTACTGAACGTAGTCAGATAATTGTTCATTTGAAATGTGTCATTTGTTGTGATGTAATTGGTTTGATTTTCATAATAAAATTTATATTTGCTTAAAGTCAAATTGGACCTTTGCGCCTTGCCCTGTTCTACATATATACTTTTTATTAAATTTACTTTTATTCATCGAATATTACTAGAAACTTTTCAAAAAGCAGGTCAAAAAAGAGATACCTAAATCATTTTGTATCTCTCCTCGCAGAAATTTGAAAAATTTGTATAAGCTCAATAGTATTATTTACAATTATACACAAAATCCAGAATCCAAAAAAAATTTCAAAAAATTTGAAACGCATTCATTAATCGATTAAATGGAATTTGTAATGACTATATAAGTCGAAAGACCAACAAAGACTTGGATTGAATTATGCCATGTTTTCTATAGAAAGTGTATAAAACTTTCAGTTTGGTTGTATTAATAAAATATATACAAACTAATGGGGTTTATTGTTTCTATAATATCTCATTGTATATAGCAATTCAAACAACACATCCTTACACAAAAAGTATTAATTTTTTAGATACTCTAGAAATTGTTTATAAAATAACTTACTTAGCAAAACAACGTTTGCCGGGTCAGCTAGTTTTCAATAAAATGATATCCGTAGTATGTTGATTTAATATAAAATAAAAGCAAATATTAATAATAATAAAATTATAATAAGTGAAATATAGTAACAAATACAACAAAATAACGTACAATATGTTAATTATGAAATTATAGACTCGACTTGATTTAATCGTTATAATATGGTTGTAATCATCATCTCTTAAATTTATATTTTTTTTTTTAATCACAAAATGCTGGGTTTATGAGTACAGCCAAATTGTTTTGATATTTTTCATTTTTTTCCAATGATTGTATTTTTATAAACGTAACCTCCGAAAGGCACAAATGTCATAATATTAACGTAGGTTAGACTTCAAGTATGTGTTATCAGGGTGACATAAATAAGTTGAATTTATGATAAAATTGATATTTAACATTTTTGCCTTTTAAGGTTTAGGTTTTATGTGTAAAACGCCGGATCGCACAGCAACCCATAGATTTTTGACAGTTCGTGAGTTACTTATTTTTAAAATATTTATTATTTTGCCCAAATGTAATCATTTTAACATTGGTACCCACATAGTTTTTCTTTTAAGCTATCATTTTGTACAGTTGTGGATTGTGCCATATGTAAAGAAGAGTATGGATTGTTGCACAACTGTAATTGTGGAATTCGCCGCCAGAGGCATGCATGTCTGTGATGAAGTTGCAATGTTTACGTGGCATGCCATCTAAGAATTGAAAATATTTACATATCTTTGGACGCATTTCTAAATCAACGCCGATTGCTAGTGGTTCTTTTTGACCCAAACTATCGATCGAAGCACATCTCACACCGGGCGTTAAATGTGATCTTAATAGCAGTTACGTATGATGGCAGTTTTGTTTATCGGTCTTTATTTTTTTGATGTACTAGTGTTATAAACTAAATATAAGTGTATATCGTATTACGATTTGTACAATATTCCGAATTTAATAGCTCATAAAAGATTCCAGTATTATTTTTTATAATTTGCTCAAAATTGCATATCATCGTATCGCCGCATTTACTCAATCATTTTTTACCGCAGTTTTGATATAAAAGGTGGCATTTAAAGTTGATAGTTTGTGAAGTGTTTGTTTATTGTATGATTTATTTATTCAGGTTAAAAAAGTTAAAACTTATTAAATATTATAGTATAGTGAATAAAAGTGATGATACGTGTTGCAATAATGAGAAAGAAATGCTTCATGCTGAAATTCAACAGGTGAGTTCCTTTGCTAGGATTCCTATATTATTATGTTTGGTGAGTCATCTTGTTATGTAATAGTCATCTTGTTCAGTGGCGTCGGAAGCAAATTTTTGATGGGTGGGCTCGTTTTTAATTTGTAGGCAGCCAGTGCGGGCTCGTTCTTTTTATATCATATTTTTGAGATTGATGGGTGGGCTCAAGCCCATGCAGCCCACACGGTTCCGACGCCACTGATCTTATTTGGTAATAATCATTTTGTACCATATAATGAAAACGTAGTACCACTGCTGTAATTTGCAACTAAAACTTCACATACGTTATTTTTGATATTTTCCATCAGTCTAGTATGTACAGGAAAGTTGCCAGACCTTTTCGGCCAAATGCAACTTTTTGTCTATCAAGTATTTAATGGTCGTGGAGTGTTTGGCAATATACTTGTATAAACTACAATATTAAAATTAGCTGAATCTATAGTAATCTATTATAAACTTATTGAAAATTATCATCAAGCTCCGGCTCCATGCATATATTAGGTATCACAGTACCACAATATGGCAAAGTAATATAGGATCCTATTTTTCGATAAAATGGTTCGTAATATAGCGTTGCTATACGGTTCTTTTTTTCATATAAATTGGTAGTAAAAACTATCAAAATGCTATGTATTTGCTCTGCAGTCAGGCGTTTTAGATATAAAACTAAACCTATGAAAAAAAAAGTTATAAAAACTGCATCTTATGCGTCAAATGAGGCCCAAGGCGTTTTATGTGTTAAATTATTCAGTGCGTTCAAGCGTTTTATGCGTGAAACGCCCAATCGCATTTTACTGCCAATTTATATAAAGAAAGAATCGTAACATAGCGTTACCATAACAACGCTATGTTACGGTCTATTTTATCAGAGAATTAGCTTCATAGTTATGTTGATTGCTGAATACAACCCTGTTAAAATCTTTTTTTTTCAAATTCAATTCAATAAAATTTTACAATTGAAATACCTGAAATACCATACCATTTTTTCTAGCACTAATGAAACGGATGCGTAAAATGGGTTAAAAGATTTTAACTTCTAACATAAATAGCCTAGTAAATAGTAAAGTAACAATTTACTAACAAAATAAAAAAAATACTAAAATTAATTTTAGCAATTAAAACTAAATACACGCGGGTTTTATTTCTTTTTGCTTTCTAATATCCAGAAAGATTTTTTAGGCCAAAATATTATATAAAAATTAGACATTAATGAATTATATATATTAAAAGTATAATATCTTTAATATGATTTTGATCTTGGGGCTCAAAAAGAAAGGTATAATTGCAAAGAATCACGTAATGATTACAAGCATTTATTGAATTTTCTAAACAGTTTTAAAATTTTCAAATAAATTTCAATTGTTAATTAAAAGAAGTGCAAGTCGATTTCTGTTCAAGACCACTTACCAATAATTTATTTCAATATTTTCAATGATAACAGGAATGTTAATTCAGCGAAGTACATACTTTGAAATTTAATTCATTGTAATTTTTCACTATAATCTTTGTAATTTTTAGTATTTTCAAAACTGGCGAAGATTTTTTTATAGAAGTTTTTTTTTTGCTTTTAACTGCCATGATGATCTACGAGCAAAAGTATTAGGCGTAATATTTAACATATTTCACATGTAATATTTTTTTTCCTAATATCTTAACATCAATCAGAACCTTCCTTCCAATGAGCTGTTGGGCTGAAACTTCTCCTTAGTTCGTATTTTTAGATGGTAACTCAATGGTCAATTCATCCATATTTGATTATTTTGTTATTATAATTAATCTAATGAGGCTGACATTTTATTGGTGCAGCAATGCCGGGCAAGGGCTACTCTTGGAAATATATTGCTACCTATATTTCCAAGTGAAACCCGTTATCACTACTGCACTGCTTGACAACAGGCAGCTCGAAACGGGTCTCGTCACTCTTAGCCCCCGATATATTATTAAAAATTATATGTATAAAATCATGGATAAAATGAAAATTAATAAATTTATTAAATTATTATGTGTCTGTATAAACTTATTCCTCGCTGGTATATGCTTTTAACTATTTCAATTTTGTTGAACTAAACTAGCTTTAAGAAAATTTCATTACATAGTCAAAAGGTTAAATTCCATCCCATATACAAGGGAGCACGAATTCAATATATCTAGGGCAATTAATCACTTCTCGTAGCTCACGAGATAAATATCGAAGATGCAGCACGTATACAAATTATCTTATTAAATCAATACATGTTTCGGTGTACGAATTTCTGACACATAGTCAACATTAGATAAGTTAAATTATTTAAATTAATATTCAAATTAAGCAACACTAATGATACGGGGATTCTGGGGATGTTTTTAACAAGGATGAATTATAAACAGGAGAAACTTACATACAACTGAATACGGCGCCATCGATCTTTCTATCTTCAGAAACTTTCGTGATGGTTGTCTTAAATCCGTTTTGGAAAATGTGTTTTGATAATTATGTTATTCTCTTTTGATACTAAACCTAGTTTAAAAGTAATTTGAATATTCAAACATTTGGGTCCACATCCAAAATTTGTTTCCTTTGTGATACAATAATCGTATGTGATTTCTTTTATAATAGTGTCGTGAATCTAAAATTTTAAACGTGTTCTTTAATTTTTATAATTTGAACATTTTGAATAAGAGCTAAAAAAGCTTAATTAACTAATAAATCTGAACCAGCTTGGTCGTTTTGAATCCTTTGAAATCCATTAAAGTGATTTGGTATAGTTTTCAAATTTTGATAAAGATAAAGATCAGTTATGTGGTTTCCTCATTTCTTCATAATTTGCAATGCCAAATATGATTTTTCTGTCACAAGTTTTCAAAATATTCTCAATAATAAATACTTAACACGTTAACGCACGTGAATGACATGAATGCTATAGCATTCAAATTTTAAAGGCAATTATTTTAAATTTAATTTTATATAGCCTCATGATTTTGTAATTATTAAACCTGATTCTCTATGTATTTTTGTATTATCTTATCTTTTTCCGTATTCACTAATTAGCTTGGGCAAGCAAATTTTCTAAAATAGAAGCGTAATGACGTGCATGCTATAGCATTCATCGTATATAACGATTAAAATAAGATAATCTGACTACCCTTATAAACGATATTCAATCAAGTTTCGGATATTACAATCAATTTGAAAATAAAAATACTTTAAAAATATTTTTTTGACCTTGGTGAAACTGTTGCTGTCCTCAAATGTGATGAAAAATATAAAAACTTTCAAGAAATATGGTTTGTGATATTTTATCTAAAAACTTAAGATTTTCAATTAATCATATTCTTATCATCTGATGTAATTAAGTTTTGAATTATAAATTTGTTATTAAAAGAGAAATAAAAATTGAGACAAAAAAGTTTTTTTTCTCCAGAATATTCGATTTTTTTCAATGAATAGTTAAATTTTACGAACAAGAATATTGTGGATTTATAAAAATTAAATGGACCCATCAAAAATATGGCATTAAAATTCATTTAGTAATTTAAAGTAAACGTGAATACATGACTTATTATAATGTCATATTGTTACAATTCTAATAATTTTGCTACATTCGAAATAAATTAATCAACAATGATTTTAATTATACTAATGCACAGTAATTTATTTTGGTCACATATTCTGCATATTTGCTATTCCAACATTATTTCATTATTAATTGAATATTTTCCAACCATGAATCACTTACTCTAAATTTAAATGAACCGGTAAAATAATAATTATTCACCTGTATTAAAATACTTTAATATCAAATGCTATATAATGTTATATTTACAGTATAAATAATTGTACTTTTTGAAAATCTTGTAAAATTTTTTTTGTCATTCACATTTTTTTGTAATTGTTTAAAATGAATGAGTCATTGAATTTGGAGTTATAATTACTTTTGATCATTCTGGATATTACTTGTGTGTGCATTTTTATAATTTATTATAATGTTGGATTACCAATATTGAATCATATTCTGAAAACTTGTATCAAAAAAGAGAATAATTATGATGGCATAAGCATAAAATAATTAGCATTAGCTTTATTAGGATTTACGATGCATTAGATGTTTGAATCATAACATGAATTGGGCCATTAATATTGGTAATTTTTTATTTCATTTTTAAATAAAATACGATTCAACAACATTTTTATCATAGTATATTTATGAGGTAGGTAAAACATCAATTCACGGATTTCAATTTGTATTTATATAATTCTATCAGAATTATTTACAAACTAATGGCAGGCGTGGCCCAGTATTTGATTTATAATCAGGCAGGGCCAAATTTAGTATTCAGTTCAATCATCATATATGGGTTTTGGAAATAATTTTAATATTACAAAAGTTTTACTGAAGTGTTTTGGATATTCACAAATTCTTCTTCAGATAAAATACTCGGTGAATTATCAGAATCACAATCATATTTTGAAGAAATCTTTCCATAAGCTTTGATATTGCTTTAACATATGCATACAAATATTATTTTATTAATTATCTAATACTATCACATGATTAAGTCATGTATGACCATATAGAATTTAAATTAAAATACGAATCACTTTTGATATTTAAAAAAATTAAATGTTTTGAAATTCTGCAATTAAACAAAATCATTTGAATTTAAATTTTGTTCAAAATTTTTAAACCGCTGGATCTGCCTTTCCTAAAAACATATTAATTACACTGTCAACACATGCAAATCGTTTTAATCGGATGCTCCATTCGCTCAAAAATATCTAATACTAATAATAAGGGACTATACGTCCCGGCTTGTTTGGGACAGTCCCGGATTTCCACCTTGTGTCCCTGGTTTTTCTAAAAGCAATTTATGTGGATTTAGACTTGATCCTGAATTGTCCCGGTTACTTTGAAAATTAATAAGTAAATTAAAAAAAATATGAAAAAAAGACAATTGCTATTCAAACATCTACATCAAATTAATTGTGAACTAGCTGTAAGTGGA